CACTCCCCACCAGCTCACACCACACTCCCCCCCAGCTCACACCACACTCCCCCCAGCTCACACCATATCCGCCCCAGCTCACAGGCGCTTCCCCGCACACCTGCCTTGTTCACACCTGCATCTGAAAGGGCTGCTGAACTGCAGGCGCCGGTGGCTCCAGGCCTGCACGATGCAGCCGATGCCATCTCGTTTCTCAGGGAACCTGCCCCTCTGGTTACCTGGCAAACACTGAGCTCACCGTCGCCATGGACCCTCCTCGGCAGCCTCACCCGCGTGCCCAGAGCGAGCGAGAGCTGCTACCACCTCTAACACGCTGTCACCGCGCTGGAGCCAGACCTCTCTGCGATTATGTCACAACAGTGGGCTGCGGCTCTTCTTACTTTTCAATTTCCAAACTCCTAACAGAGCGCCCGCAGGCCGGAGCTAATCGATCAACGCTACGAGGACCTGCTAGTGTCTGACTTCTTACCTCCCTAAACTAGAATCCATCTTCCTGTCCGGCAAAAATCAGCCTTGGCTTTCAAAATGGTGCGAAATCAACAGGAAATGCAGACAGTCACCATCTTTAGAGCATCATGAAAACATGAACATTCAATACTATATTCACACATTGATCTCATGCTTCATTTCCCAAACACCAATGCTTTCCGCCTGCTGCCCCCTGCTGGGACTTCTATGGAAAACGATGGTTAAACGCTGTCCCACAGAACTTTTAAAAACCGAATCGTCCTTCTATTTTGACCAACGTGTGAAAACACTGCCAGGGAACGTGGGTTACCCGAGCGCTTTGAATAAAGAGGACAGTCCGACCACGTTCCATCCTGAGAACAAACGGCTCTGTCCTCCTGATGCTGCCCAATCCTCAGTTCACCGCGAGGGGGGGACAGCAGCTGTGCCCTGGGGGGGTCTGAGTAAAGGGGTGCGTTCTGGGTGGAGAAGGCAGAGGCATGACACTGTGCATGGGGAGGAGAGTAGCTGATGAGTATGACTGACATGACAGGAGCCACGGGGGGAAATGTTCCAGAAAGAGGGAGCGTTCACCCCACAACTTACAGAGGCCGAGTGAAAACAAAAGTGAAACGCAATGACGTCACCCCTGGTGGGCAATCCGCGTCCTCCGACTGACTCCTTTAATGGAGGATAAACGGGCAGAACCAACGGCTGCGGGAGGAAGCCAGGGGGCCCCAGTGTGGGCATGGCCAGTGGGGGAGGGAACCGTGTCCCCGAGGAGACGACGGGTATTTGAATGCTGAGGAGCGGAACCCCTAAGCGAGGCGCCCCTATCGGAACGTCCAGGCTGTGTCCTTCCTGAGGACCAGGAAGAAACGCATCACACACTTTTCATTAAGTATTTGGGAGGGAACGGGCCTGGCCGGGTCCGGCGCACACAGGGAGGGAGCTCCCGCTGTCGCAGGGCAGCCCTGGGACACACAGCGACCTTCCCACTGAGCGCCTCCTACTCAGATGAACCCAAACCACAGTCGCATCTTCTCTGGCCCACATCTCTGCTTGCTCCCTGCCAACCAGCCTCCACACAGAAACAGGAAACCCTGTCCTGCATCCCACACCGACCTCCGCCCAGGCACCAGGACGAGGGCAGCAAGCTGTAACTCGGCCCACAGGCCCTGCGGGGCCCGCCTCCCCCAGGTGACCCCCACAGGCCCCTCTCCCCGCCTCTCTCCCCTTCACACCACCATCACCTTGTGCCTGGAGACGTGCAAGCTGGTGACACGGAGCCGCTGCACACGCGTGGCCTTCCCTGGAGAACCTCCACCCACGTGACGCAGCTGTCAGTCACTCCCTCTCCCTCCCCGCCCACAGCAGGTCTGTCTCCTTGCAGACCTCATCGGCGCTGCACACCCACGTCCTCTGTGTCACAGCTGCAGTTTCTCATTAACTTTTACGATGTCATAGTAATGTTTCTCCCACCAGTAAACTCTGGCCGCCCTGAAAACGGGCCATGACTGGTTCTGCTAACTGTGCATCCAGGATCTAGCACAGCGCCTGCCACATGCTATTTGCTGAATGAATGGAACAGTAAAAAATACAGTAGCCCTAGCCAGCTGGATCAGTGGATAGTGTTGGCCCGCAGACTGAAGGGTCCCAGGTTCGATTCCGGTCAAGGGCACATACCTCCGTTGCAGGTTCCCTGGCCCTGGTTGGGGTGCGTGCAGGAGGCAACCAATTGATGTTTCTCTCTCACATCACTGTTTCTCTCTCCTCTCCCTCTCCCTTCCATTCTCTCTAAAAATCAATGGAAAAATATCCTTGGGTGAGAATTGACAACAACAACAAAAAATACAGTATATTTAATAGACCCTAAGTCTTAGGGCATAATACAAGAAAATTCCTATTAAAATGACTAGTTTAATAAATAACGATGCTTAGGATTCCAGTGTTACGCGTCTCATTCAACACAGCCTGACACTGAATGTGCATTAAAGTTATGTAAGCACCTGCCAGGACTCTGCAAGCCACCCTCCTCGTTCACGAAAAGGCCCCACATCTCAGTTCCAACAAGAGCCACACAGTCACTCGGAATCGGTTCACTCGCCGTCACTTACATGTAGATCTCCTCCAGGCTGTTCGACAGATCGGCCCGTTCTTGCCCCTTAAGCCAAGGAGCACTATGATGAAAGGAAAGAAAGCAGAGATTACTCAAGGCTTATGTTTACATCTCACACGTAAATTATGGCTTACATCACAAATCAGTTTTATTTCACTTTCAAAAATTATTTTCATTAAAATGTCGTCTTGAGTTAATAGTTCAAAAACGCTTCCTCGGCATTAACTCGTTTAGTCCTCCCAGGAAACCCCGACGAAACCAACACCAATGTTATCCCACTAAAATGTGGTTTAAAGGCGGGTGAGCTCAGGGGACACCACGAGACCACGGCGTTCACGCCAGGGGCAGAACAGGCGCCGGGGTCTGCCGCCCTCTCGGGTCCCCAGCCCCCCAGCTGGCGTCTCAGAACAGCTGTAACTAACCAGGCGGGTGCCACGTGACCGTAAGAGATGTTAACGTTTTCTGAAAAGGGCACGAATGTTTACTAGTATTCTATACTTACATCTATCGTTTTTAATAAATAAAGAAGCTTAACAGTACAGGCCCATTATTAACAACAAATGTTATAGCTATGGTTTCAAAACACTCATACGAAACGCAATCCCCCTGGTAAGTAAAAATTTAGTCATTGGCCCTAGCAGGTGTGGCTCAGTGGATAGAGTGTCGGCCTGCGGAGGGAAGGGTCCCACATTCAACTCCGGTCAAGGGCACGGACCTCGGATGCAGGCTCCTCCCCGGCCCAGGCCCTGGTCAGGGCACACGCAGGAGGCAACCCATCCATGTGTCTCCCTCACATCCATGTTTCTGTCTCTCCCTCTCTCCCTAAAATCAATGGAAAACATCCTCAGGTGAGGATTAACAACAAAAAAAATTGAGTCATTGAGGTTCAATTCAATTCTGTTCCCAGGGTTTAAACTTCCTAGAAGGTCAGGGAGGCAAGGTCAAGCCAAGGTGACGCACGTCAGCAGCTCACGGAACTCAGATTGTGCTCTGGCCTCCAAGAAGTCGGTTCCTCAACAACGCAGGGTGGGAAGGAGCCCCGGGCACACCAGGGGTAATTCCTGGAGGCATTAGGGGTAATTCCTGGAGGCATTGGGGTAATTCCTGGAGGCACAGGGGTAATTCCTGGAGGCATAGGGGTAATTCCTGGAGGCATTAGGGGTAATTCCTGGAGGCAGGCTAGGCAGAGGCACACCAAGGACCTATGGCTGGACCAGGGGCGGAGCCAGGCCAGAGGAGCTCTGCAGTTGGGGTTTCCAGATACCAGTTTGTCTACAGGTCCTGCCCCATCCCTAGGACAATAGTAAGTGACGTACGTCACCATGTTCTTATGTTATTAAATTTATTTAAATGCTCACCAAGCCCAAAAGGCATTAATTTCTATATACATTCTGATAAGATACTTTATACGCACAATGTACAGTACACACAATCCTTGGAAAGGATGATTTTTATAAAAATTTAATGTAGAAACTAGAGCTACATTTACAGGATGGAATACTACTCAGCCGCAAGAAGAAGGCTGTCGCACCTTGGAGGGACTGGAGAGCATGACGCTAAGTGAATAAAACAGAGAAAGACAAGCACCACGTGACTGTACTTATAGGTGGAATCTAATGAACAAATAAACGAACAAAGCAATTGTTTAAAGTAAAATAAAACCATGCTGACTTCCGAGACATTAAAGCAAAAACGATACAACAATTGAAAAAGCCAGAAACAGAAATAGAGCTTACTTCAGCTGGTACACGGGGGGCGCTGTGCCCGGGTACCCGTCCGGCAGCATCACCTGCGGAGCAGTTTAAACACAAATGCTTACCTGTCATGGCTCAAAGGGGGTGTCGTTTTAAAGCCAGTCACCAGACAGATTCCAAAACCAAAACACTGTTTGGCTAAGTCCGAGAGACTTCCCGCCTCATGTTCATGCTTCTACTTTAAAGACGTTGCCAATGATGAGGTCGAATTTTTAACAAGGAATTTACTATTTGCAGAGAAAGTTTAAACGCAACAAAAGTTAGAAAATAAAGATGAAAGCAAAGAAAAACTGAAATGGGGTCGTTACACCGTAACCCTAAGTGAATGGAGTGGCATTATAACACGCTCCAGAGATCTTTTCTGAAGAAATACTAAAAGAATATTTAATGCTATTATAGCCTGTTAATTATCAGCTAACACTTAGAGAAGCACACAGATCTCTTTGCAAAATGTATTATTACAAAAACAAATACAGTGGGGCCTTGACTTACGAGGGTAATTCGTTCCATGATGGAGCTCGTAACTCAAATTACTCGTATGTCAAATCAATTGTGAACGAGTGAGACACGTGATGCTGGGCTGATGTTGTGGCGTTCACTGTGACGTTCGCTGCGCCAACTAGCGGTGGGGTATCTGAAGCTGGCTCGTAACCCGAATTTTAGCTCGCAACTCAAAGCAAAAAATCGGCCGAGAGACGGCTCATATCTCGAAAAACTCGTTAGTCGGGACACTCGTAAGTCAAGGCCCCACTGTACCGACAAAACTCAACTTGGCATCCCTCACGTGGCTACGTACAGGCAGCAATGACAGGACAGGCACTGAGACAGAAGCCAGGCCGATCCGTTCGCTGATCTATCCTGACCACACTGGCTGTTGGTACAGAAACGAGGGCCGAGGCTGGGAACCGCTGAGTCACCAACCTCCTCCTAACCGTCAGCTCTCTCCCAGCTCCACTCCGCCCACCAAACGGCAGGAGGCGTGACACGCAGCGCAGGGCGCGTGGAGGACACTCGCGTGACTTAGATCATTGAGAGAAAGCTGGGACCATCGATCAAAGCACGACTTTAGCGCCAGCTGAGATGTGATGACTCACAGGTTTAGATCATCGACGGTTAGCAAAACCCAACAACAAAAAGACAATTCAAAGAAGTCGCACAAGCAGGGTCACTGGGGGACCCGACAGCAGTGGGTCCTGGAGTCAATAGCGCAACAGGAGGAGGAGGAGGAGGAAGAGGAGGAAGAGGAGGAGGAGGAAGAAGAGGAGGAGGAGGAGGAAGAGGAAGAGGAGGGGGAGGAGGAGGAAGAGGAGGGGGAGGAAAAGAAGGGGTACCTGCAGGCAGAGCGTCCACTTGGGGTCATCTATGTCGTCGCTGATCCTGATACAGAAGATCTTGGCGCCGTCGTCGATGACACACCACTCCTCGCCGTAGATGGCCGCCATCGCCTCGATCTCCTCATTCTGCGAGAAGTGGGGAAGGGGGGCTAACAAACCAGACGCCCTAAGGCTGGAACCCCGCCTCCCCGGTTGGTGTGTAAGGCATCTGCCTTCAACGGGACCAGCCTGACGTCTGTCACACGATCAACAATAAACAAAATATATTTTTTAAAAAACAAAACAGTGCGAGTGTGGATGAGGGTGTGGGTGAGGGTGTGGATGGCGGTGTGGATGGGGGTGTGGGTGAAGGTGACGGTGAGGGTGG